ACAGCGCCCATCTTTGGAACCTGCCAGCCTTTGCCCGCTTCCATGCACAGTCGGAGGCAGTTTGCCGGGTTGACTCATGCCGATATGGGGCCGCTTGGAGGAAACGGCTAAGGATTGCCACTAACACTGAGCTCGGCGGAGCCCGTGCCTTTTGTAAGTGCTCCGCTAAGCATTTTCGCTTACGAGGGCGCACACGGCCACAGGGCTCCTCCTGGACTAGGGCTGCTGACGAGTGAAGGGCTGGGCTCGCCGACGAGATCGCTGTGGCTGTGACCGCAGCTTGGAGGCGACGTGGCCTTCCGCTGAGTGCCTCCCTTGCAAAGCAAAGTAGTGCAGTGATTGGAGAAGCCAGCCACCCGGGACCGAGGCGCGCGAAATACCCAGCAGGCCGTGCTGGCCTCGACCTCGAAGCACAGCCGCTGCTTTCAGGGATCTCCAGGGCTTTGGGTGATAGGGCCTGGTCGTCGTTTCTCGTCTGGCTCTCCTCCCTCGTCTCTTTCTCTCACTCCGAGGTCTTCAGCCGCTCTCCCGCGCTCCTCGCCATGGCTCTGCGCTCTTACGGAAACTGGCTCTACAAGACTGGAGGCACGCTGCATGAGTTGCGGCACGCCATACTGGCAGGGCAGCGGCAGTATATTGGGCTGAAGCCTTTTAGCTCTCTGGTGTGGGAGCTTGTCTCGCGGGGGGAGCATTTGGAGCCGCCAGCTCATCGAGTGCCGATTCCTGAGCCACTTTTGAAGGCTCTCGTCGCCCTGGCGTGGCTGACAGGACACCGCGACTTCGCCGGGGTGGCACTACTGGCTTTCTACGGACTGGGAAGGATCGGCGAGGTCCTCAGCACGACCCGCAGCGACTTGTTGCTGCCCAAGGAGGACCTTTGGGACCAGGGGCCTCACGTCTTCCTACGCCTTCGAGCTTCCAAGACGGCGACCCGAGGACGAGGCAAAGTACAACACCTGAAGATTGACGACGAGGTCGCTGTCTGTAGCCTTTCGGCGCCTAGAGTCTGAGCAGAAGCTTTACTCTAAAACCCTCTCTGCTTTCAGATATCGCTGGAACAAGCTCCTGAGCTGCTGACGGTTGATCCGGCACTTCGCCTCACCTTGGGAGGGTTGAGGGGAGGTGGGGCGGTCTGGTGCTACCGTGTAGGCGTCGGCATCTCGGACACACAATGGAGAATGCGCAAGCACCAGTCGACCTTAGAGTACTACCTTCAAGAGGTGGGGGCCATCACTGCTTTGAATGCTCGTGGTGACGTGGCGTCGAGGAAGATGCGAGCAGCGTCCGCGACTTTTCCGTTTGTCGTGGCGGGCGCTGCCAATCAGCCCCCCTCTGCTGCAAACCGGGCCTACGGCCGCGCAGGCCTTTGGCCTTCGCCTTTTGGGTGCTCGTCGCCCCTTCCATGCCGACTGGCCATGGAACAGTGGTGGAACTACATTATGGGCTCCCTTGGAGCAGCGGATCCTCGAGGAGTTCGTCTCGATGGTCAACTTGCTTTCGGCTACGGCCGCTCCTCGCTACTGCCTTACGACTTCGAGTTTCCTTTCTGACCGCTGCTGTGGAACCCATGTGCG